AAAAAAAAAAAAAAAAAAAAAAAAAAAAAAAAAAAAAGGTAGGGTGTTAGCCGAAGAAGGGTATTTACGTCATTGGCGCAAATTCATATATTTTCCCACAGATTCCAGAAAATGATGGGTTTTTGGCCATTTTCGGAAGTGTGGGGACCGAAACGTCAGCGAGATCTCAATGATCAGAGCAATGGAGCACCCACTGATGTTACATGACCATTTTAACCTTAGCCCTCCCCATTGCCATTTTATGCTAATTGCTAAGGTATCACGTACAGTCCCCTTGGGTAATTTAAAACCAAAAACATAGGCCATTTTAGGCGAGCTCGTGTGTCAGAAAATCCAATGGAAGATACATTATGATTTATGACCGAATAGTCACTTTTCACAAACCATGGAAAAACAAAATTAATAAAGAAAATAATAACAATTCACAATTCACAATTCACAATTCACAAACCGTGCGTGACGTTATGTATGGACCTTATGGCAGAGGAGAATTAAATAAGCCATCCTCCGTCGACTTAACTTCGTACATGTGTAGGTGAAGCCTGGGTATATTGACTTTTTACCAGGGACCCACTGCGTATGAGGTAGTAACTTGTTTTTCTTTTTTTTCATTTCATTAGCTAAGGGAAAGTAAAAGTAAGAGAGGCACTAGGTCAAAACTGAAACATCATTGGTGCCCGACCCGTACAATCCCCAATAAAAGACAAAAATCCCAAACGCCAGCTAGAGTGTCTACACATCACATCACATCCTACTCAATAAACAAAAGTTAAACATATAATTACCATATTAACAGCGGAAGGGTGGTCTTCGTTACGATAATGAAGCGCCAGTTCTAAGCAATAGAGAACCGGGCCAGCCCGAGCAGGCAGACGGGCCGGGTCGAAGCGCTGGTTGGGGCCCACGGGCACAGTGGGCCACCCGTTGCAAGGGTCATCGCTGTTCACGAAAACAAACCCTTCCACGTAGTCAAAACCGTCACGCTCTTGCAGTGTCACCAGCCACTCTGCGTCGCTAGTGAACTCCTCAAACTCTGAGTACACAACCCTTATCCATCTCACCTAATATAATATCCAACACATAACATAAATATAAATATTTTAATTTCTCTCTTCCGTTCAATTTAATTTATTAGCGTACCATGTCTGGGGCTTGTTGAACAGCCACGCGGGCTCGGGTTATGATGCCGAACTGGCCCAGCCCGCCGAGGGCTGCGAAGAAAAGCTCCGAATTTTGGCCTTCCGAGCATACTAAGATTTCGCCTTTCCCCGTCACCACTTCCAATTCCGTCACGTTCGACGTTTGCGGGCCGTAACGGAAGGCCTGGCCGCTGACGCCGGCGTTGGAGAGCGTTCCTCCCACGGTCAACCCGAGGTAATCGGTCCACGAGCGCGGCGCCACGCGGAACTGCGAAACGCACCGTTTCAGGACATCTTCCCATAATGCCCCTCCCGAAACGTCGACGTATAGGGAACCGTCGCGGTGAGACAGAGAGAGGTGGTCCTCCTCCTCCTCCATGGCGCGCATGTCCAGGACGAGGCCGTTCTCCGCCATGGCCTGCCCGTTGATGGAGTGCCCGTTGCCGCGCGCCGCCACCGTCAGGTTCGCCGTGCGCGCCGCAGCCCTCACCGCGCGCGCCACGTCGGCGCCCGAGGCGGGGCGTATCACGGCCAGCGGCGCGGCGGATTTCATCCCGCCGAAGTCCTTTGCGGCGGCGGCCGGGGCGCCGAAGTGGAACGCGCCCTCGAGGCCCGCGACGTCGTCGTTTGGCTTGGATTCTGTGTCGTTTCCGTGCACGAAGTGTTCTAAGTAAGCTATCATGGTGAAAGATGAGAGTGGTTAACTACTACTGTTTTTTTTTTTCTCTCTCTCTCTCGTTTGAAAGTACCGTTTGAGTTCGAGCCTTTGAGAGTTTTTGTGTGTGCGTGCTTTCCTTCGCGTTCGCCTTTAAATAGCGGCTGCTTTGGATTTACTTGGAATTTTCTTGTCACAAAGAAAAGCCAGTTGCGGTTTTTGAGAATCTAGGAAAATTAAGGAAAATTGTCTCGCAAAAATGTTTACTAATTTTTCCTTTTCTTTTGGCGTTTTCGGAAATTCGTTAATAAATAAGTGATTATGGAGATGTCACGACAGAATTTATGTTAAAGATATTCTTTTAAGGTAATAACTAATATGGCGGGCTTTATTTATTTATTTATTTATTTATTTTTCCTTATAGAATAGTATTATCAATTATCATCTCCTATGTAAGAGACTGAGTTTCAAACTAACTGTACGTGCCTACATGGAACTCCTCTTAATTTATTTTATTTTTGTGTACATCGCAAATCAAACCTAACGTCACGTGTATAAAAAGGATAAAGATGTTTCAACACTTACAAAGAATGTAAACACTCCTAGTGATGAGAGAGATTACAAAAAAAAAATGTGATGAAAAACTATAAAGGCATGTCTAACATATATGACATTTATTTTATAATAAATTTTTATATATTTATTTGTTATGTTAAATTTTAAAACAATAACATGGATTATTATATTCTTATCAAGAGAGAGAGAGAGAATGATATAAAAAGTCTAAATTGATAATATATAAGAAAAATAAATAATGTACGAAATTATAAATAATTTCAATATAAATTAAAATTAATATTTTAAAAAAATTATATGTTGAAATCTTAAATAATTAATAAAAAAGCGGATATATATAAAAATTCTAACTAGGCTTGGACCAACATATATTAATAGGGTGTGCATTAGTTAATTAATATTTTGGAAACATCTCCTAGTTTATTTATCAATCAAATTATGATATCATCATTCCCTTAATCGATCTGTTGACGCTAGGGGTGGGCAAAAAAAACTAAACTGAACTGAACTGAACTGGTGGTGAACTGTACTATAAAAAACTGAACTGTTTGTAAAAAAAACTAAACTGAACTGTTTAAAAAAAACTGAACTGAACTGAACTGTTGTAAAGTTGAACTGTACTGAACTATAAAAACTGAACTGAATTATAAAAATTGAACTATTTTTATAAAAAAAATAAAAATTAAATATGTTTAACATGTTATGTCTTAATAGATTAACTCGATAGTTTAATAACCAAAATTTCCAAAAAAAATTCAGTTTTGTATTCTCTTAGTTCACTAGTACTAGTGCGATTCTACTAAGTGTAGGGACTATGGCAGGTCGTTAAACCTTTCAATATTTTCATTCTTAAAATTACTTAGTTTGTGCTTTTGGTTAATTTTTTTACGGATGTCAAACAGTAAGATTCTATAAAATGAAAACAACTAAAATTTATAATGAAAATAATTAAAATTAATAGAATTAAAATAAAAATAATAAACTAAACTTCAATTTGACCTAAATTTGTGAAGTTTAAATATAATTTTTATTTATACATAATAAAAATATTAATTATTAATGATCATCTTAAAAATATGAATCTTAAACTTAAAATTTACAAAAGTCATCCAATAATATTATAATCACTTTTAAGTTATAAAGAAAATGTAATAAATGAAGAGTAACAAAAATAAAACATAAAATATGATAAATGTGTTAAAATGAATAGTATCAGCCAAGTATGAAATAATATATATATATATATATATATATATTTTACTTAATGTAAATTTATAAGAAGTATCGGTGTGACATAGAAAGGATGTTAATATATTTTTTCATTCTTCATCTAACTTCTTTATTTTTTTAATTTTCACATGTTATGATTCATTTTGTTATATTTTTGTTTAACTTATTTTATGTTTAGTTATTTCTATTTATTATATATATATATATATATATATATATTTTTTTTTTTTTCCTGTATATTTGTAAGAATTATTGTATAATCATATGATTTTTATGGAGTTGTACGTTTAATTTCTATAAACATTTTTTTTTCTAATCATCAATGCACTTATTATATTTATATTTTTATATAACGTATTAATGCATTTATTATATGTAAAGATTTACATTTTATAAATTTGACTAAAATAAATATTTAATCCTTATAAAGTAAAATTAATTTCTTTTTGATGTTTTTAGTTTAGTTATGTTTAATTTTGTCATTTCAAACTTTGTTGTTTTTCTTTCGATTCTCTCAAAATTTAATTATTTTTATTTTGATCATTTCCTATTTTAATCCTTATAATTTTCACTCATTTTTTATTTTGATCTCTTTAATTTATTTATTTATACTGTTTTTATTAAATTTAACGATCAATATGACAATAAGGACAAAAATGAAGAAAAAAAATTGCAGAGAAGAATTAAAAAAAAAAATTAAAATAACTAAAAACAAAACATCGTATTAAATTAATACATGTTTACATTAATCTTTGTGATAATGATTTTTTATCTTTTACTTTCTATTATTACACTAAATAAAAATTTGAAACTTTTGGTTACTAAAAGGTACATTGAAGGGGTTTTTAGATGATAAAATCATTATTGAAAAGTATAAAACCGCCATAATTTATTTTCCGGTTTAGCTGACTTTTGGAGTTAATTGTGGAATTTTACGGCCTTAAATTATACTTTCATGGTAGTTTTAGAATGTTAAAAATTGGAACCTAGGTTGAGTCAGTGTTGTAACAGTATGCGTGCAGATATTAAATTTCAACTTTATTATCATTATTATAATTTATATTAACATGTAATTAATTTTATATTTTAAAAAATATAATAAATCAATTCACCTATCCACCAATCCATAGTAGATTGTATTGGGTTAAATTTGATTAATGATTTAAAATACATATTTGTAGACGTCGAGTTTCCTCACTTTATTTTTTTCTTGTACTGATCCTAAAACCTTCCATGTCAATGTCTTGCACAAATTTACAAGATTAGAAGCCATATACCTGTACTGATCACGGATTCGTAGAAACTTATTAAATTCTTACCTGTTGGGTGTTTTGTTAATTAGAATAATTGTCGTTTAATCATGATTATTAAAGTCAGGAAATAGATTGGATGACATGTCACTAATTGAACAAATTTAAAGCAAATGAAGCTATTTGACATTTCTGCCCATCAAAAAAACTATTTGACATTCTTATCTTATCTTATAGAAGCAAGGAAAAATTAATTTTCAAAACTGTCTACTTTCAATTAATTTTGTTGTAATAAGTTGAAATGGCTTGTCGCACGCTGAAAAAATGGTACTAGAAAAGGATGACCACGAATAAATGATTAGTTTTGTAAATGTCAACAACATATCGAGTTTAATTATTTGATTAAACTTCAAAATCTTATAAATTGTTTTGTATTAGGCTTTCAATTAGGTCCAAATCCAATGATTTGACATTTTCATAGGCAATTAAAATCTTAAATCACATCATCTTGTTAGTCCTCCTAAATTGCCAACCAAGGCTAACTAACTCGATCTCTGCTAGTCTCTAACAACTTGTTAGAACATGTCATGCAGTGAATAGTATTTTTATGAGAACCTTTTATTACGGTTCTATTTCATCTTTCATAAAATATATATATACGGTAACATTTTGTAAATATAATGCAAAAAATTTTATGTTGATTATTGTTTTAATCGATAGATAAAGTATTTTTATGTCAATTAATTTGGAGAGAAAACTTCATTAAAAATGATTAATTAATTTTTTTCAACTTAAATTAGTTATTAATGAAATTAGTAACAATCTCATGTCAATAACATAATTAGCCAAAAAATAAATAAATAACAATTATAGAAGAATGACAATTTTGTAGATAATACAAAACTGTATATGTCGATTGGAGAATCAACCAACATAGAAAATACTTTTTATGTTAAAAAATCATCATAAAAAATGTTTTACAAAATCAGAGACTACAAAAAATATAGTTCGTGTTTTTCAACTCTATAATTTTGCCATTCTCCATTTCCTCTCCCTCCTCTATGTCTCTTATCCCTTCTTTTCATCCTCCTTCTCTTCCTCACGCATTTAGATAAATTATTTTGCTTTAATTTTTTGGCATTTTTTTGTTGATATTATATAGTCATGTGAAAGCAAGCATAGTGGAGGAAGTGACAATGGAACAAGAAGAGGAAGCAACGTTGATAGGAAAAGAACGTGACAAAGAAGTAATAGTTAATCTAAAAGTAAGACTTTTTATGTTAGTTGTTTTTATCACTGATAAAAAATTAAAATAATTTCTTATGTCGTTTGTATCTATGATGAGCTTGAAACTAACATAAAAATCTAAGTAAGTATCTAACTTAATTTATAAGTCACAAACTCACATATACAAATAGTATAGCTTTTCTCATAATTAGGTAGTTTTATCTTCCCCACCCTATCATACTTGAGTTTTGAAGTCATTGTAAGTCTCACCAATTTTCACTTTGTTTTTTCTTTATAAAAATATTGGAATAATAGCATATCTCCTCAAATTAAATGGTGTCAACTATGAGCAATAAATGTAAGTTTGTTATTGTTTGTAGAGACAAGCAACACATCTTAGAGTACGTATTTTGATTTTAATATCCTACTATAAATGTATATGGATATGGAGTATAGAGACCACCACCTCATTGTTGGAAGAACATGACAATCTAACATATTACCTTTTACATCATATTTGCATAGCACATTTTTTATTATTAGTGTAAGTAACATCAATGTATAATTTAAGATTATTTTCCTTATGCTTTGCTTAATTTCATTATTTTCTTGAAACTTGTAGCACTTTGGTTATTTATTATAAAAAAATTGTCATATAGTGACAAACACCCTATAGTGATATAATATTTATTAATAAATATTAATTTTACCTACACTATAGATATAATATATGTTAGTATATTATTAAAAAAGTATAACTATATACTATAATGACACATAATATATATTGTTAAATATTATTCAAAATCAATACTAAAATTATATGTAGTTATATGTCAAGTAAATTTATACCTACATATGTTATAT